TTGGTTAAAATAAATAGTACATAACTATTTGATTGCATATGAACTGCTATATTAATTATATAAAATATAATAAATAATGTATTTTTGAGAGATCGCCAATTTATTATTTTAAAAATATTAAATTTATTATAACATTTCACTATGCGATTTTAAGGAATTTTACTATAAGATTAAAATAAATTAACTTATTTAAAAATACAATCTCTAGATAAGATAAAAAAATATAATATTAATTTTAGAGTAAATAACTTAAGCAAAAAATTTACAATATTTTTTATGTTTATGTAACTTTCATATATCATTTAGTTTAAACTATAGTTATTAATTTTAATAATAACTATTGTATGATATAATAAAAAGTGTAATTATTATTTCGTTAATATAAAATGTAATTGTTTTTGCCTTAATTAACTCTAAAAAAAGTGCAATGAAATAGTTTAGCACTAATTAGATATGGCGTAATAATAATAATAATAATAATAATAATAATAATAATAATAATAATAATAATAATAATAATAATAATAATAATAATAATAATAATAATAATAATAGAAGAAGAAGAAGATTGTAACATAAAAAGATGGTAAACAATAATCAATACTATTAAATTTATTATTAGTAATTAAATATAGAGAGAGAGAGATAAATGATAAAGTTTGTAACGATTTTTTGAGGGAAATCGAAATGATGTTTTATTAAATGTTTTATTAAATGCTATTAGCCAGCAATTATATATATATAGAATCGACGATTGTCAGATTTTGGTATTGGATTGCATTTAACGGACTATCGAGCATTAGCTCTTCCCTTCTATTCATAATAAGTGTCGTTTGTTTGGAGAAATTACACAGCTATTAATAATATTTATTTTTGGTCAATAATAACCCTCATTAATGAGGATAAAGATGAATGTTTTGAGAAAAATTAAAGAGTTAATATGAAAATGTGTAGTGTATTTATCAGTTAATTGAGTGTAATAATGAAAAAATATGTGCAAAATATCCAAAATGATATTTATTTTGTTAATAGTTAATAATATCAAAATGACATTTAAAAATAATAGGAGGTACTATTATTTTTGTGATTTTTTTGGACAATTCTTCCACTTTCTTATACTTTCCGAAATATCTTAATAAATCATCTCTTAAAATCTGGAATTATGTATTTTGATTTCATAGGCAATTTCAAGTTTTTTATTTTTTTATTTT